AGTTCTCCTCTCCTTCTTCGAAAACGTTAAAACTTTTGGGTTGGAGTTTCATATTTTGTGTCATTTTATGTTGTTTCTAAATGAAAGAAGTCCTCTTTCCGTCCCATCCTCAATACTTTAATATTTCGTGTATCCGTAGATAATCGACCCTATGGCTTCTACAAACTTACCTTGAGCATGAATTTGCTGCCCTGCAATTTTTTTTTTCCATTTGATACAGCTCTTACTAATGTAACAGTAGAAACGAATAAAATAACTTACTACGAAGATGAGTTATTATACATAACGGGTTGACTGAACAACTTCATGGTTCAGTTGGTTCCACCCGTCATAAAAAAAAAACGAAATTCTCGTAAACCAAAGACGACCTTCTGAATACTGTCGGCCATCTTTAGGTGTAGGTATTTTGCTAATAGTGATAAATTTGCTAGTTTGTACATCGTTCTTTTTGATAAAAGTACCTCAAGACAAGACGTAAAGTAAGATACACTACAGAAGTGCAACATCTGCAGTGTATCCTACTTTACGTTCTTGAACCGAGTCGGGCTTTTCAATCAGGGATTACACCTCTTAATCTCTTAAATGACCACTTTGGCGATTTTGCATCTGTCACCTCCTTGCATTCTGATGTTGAATGACTCATACAATTCTCTAAAAATCTTGTTTCTTAACTTCCAAAGAATTTTCGTGTTTTTCAAGTTCAGGGGTACATGGGCGTCTATTACATGGAATAGCCGAATTGCCCAAAGGGGAATTCCTTACTGACAGCGATTGCTCTCGTGCCCCGTCATTGACGCACCTGCCCGTTTGACTTGCGTACGCCTAACTGCATGTCATGTGATTTTTATACTCGACCTACGAGGCACAATCTGGAAACTGTTCCGACTGAGCTTTTTCTTCTACATGTCTGCCACATATTTTCTGTTATTTTGCTGCAGAGACCAGATAGCTTCCCTGGTGCCGAAAACACTACACGCATATCAAAATGCGACGCCACTCTTTTTAGGTTGTGTTAAACCTTGCGTATATAAAGTATGACGACGGGTCTCACTTTTTCACTGGACATGCGGGACATCCTGGACATGATGGACAAGGCAGCTGAGGATATTTTATACTTTTTCGCTGCACTGTTCGCAATTATATGACAAAAACAAATAAAAAATATGCAGGAAAGATTACAAAGTAACATTCGGAACACTATTGTCTATCTTTCATATATCTTCGCCTTCTGCGCATAAGAAAGGAAGTAGCGGTGACTTCAGAACGCCGAACCCTGATTCGCTGATCGCGAACCCCTATCTGAGCGTCGTCTGCTCCTTTGCAACGTCGTCTGCTCACAACGTCGGCTGCGTCTGTCGTACCTTTCTTGCGACTTTCGGAAGTGCAGGTTTTTACGAGCGAGCTCGACTTCGCCTTTTAGAGAGGGCAGACGAAATAACTCGAGCGGTACGTTGTTTTTGTCTAACAACTAGCAGACGCGCCTCTAGGAGGGAAGTCAAAGGACTCACTGGCAAGGTGTCCCGAGGCGCCGAGGTTCGTTTGCTCAGAACGGAGAGTGAGCGTCCGCAAGTTCCCTCCCAAATACTTTTTCCCTTCTTTCGTGTGCGGCGAGACTCCTCACTCTTTAACGGCGTCGGCGGTTTGGCGCAGTTAACGTCGTCTGCTTTACGTCTGCTAGTCAAAGTGATGGCTGCTTTACCTTTCCAGCGTCTGTCGGAGACTTACCACTTTTTCACCGGCGAGAGTCACCGCTGCCTCGAATAACATGGAGATGACAAGGGGAAGAAATTGACCTTTTAATCTAAAATTGAGGTCAGCGATCAAAGTATAGTACGGGAAGGGTTCGCAAGGGTAACGCGGGCATATTCCGTTCAACACGCCAGCCGGTCGTGGGCAGACGGTATTGGCCCAGGACCGTCGGAGCACCACTGCGCCGAGTCGGAGAGCCCGCTAGGCCTACCTGCCGAGCTCGCTTGGTCGGGGTCAGTGGAATCGTGGCCGTTGGAGAATTTCTCGGGTGTTTGTGGATCAAGCGTTCTTGTTCGTTGTAATTTATTTCAAGTACTTTTTAATTTTTTTTTGTTGCTTGTAGTCGGAACGCGTGGGAAGAGCACGTACAAAAATAAACGTCCGTTGGTCGTCGGGACCAAGTAACTGAGCGACGCTGTCGGCCATGCTTATTTGATCGTAAGAAGGATGTAAGACAGCTTCGGAGCTGTCGTAGGATTCCGTCGTAACCTGCGCAAAACTTACGATAATTTCATTTCGTGAATACGAATTTGTTCTCATGTTTTGCCGTACGCACATTTTTGGCGTAAGATCGTTTTGTGAATCTGGGCTCTGCACTTTCGCAAGTCGCAGGAAAGGTAAGACAGGTGCAGACGACGTTGCGAGCAGACGATGTTGCAAAGGACGCAGACGACGCTCAGATAGGGGGTCGCTATCAGCCAATCAGGGCTCGGCGTTCTGACGTCACCGCCACTCCCTGCGCAAGAAGCAGACGAACTTGCCCTCCGCATAATGTGTCGCTGATTATCTCCAATATTACTTTACATGTTTATATATATATATATATATATATATATATATATATATATATATATATATAAGTTTTTCATATACAAATATCCGTTTCAGTACTTATGGCCATTCTTCAGTGCGTCTTTTGATATTTTTTTATAATTTTTATGCGTATATCGCTCTCAATAAGAGTGTATCAACACAAATAAAAAATAGGCAATCAAACATTTTTCAAATAATAATGCTCTTTTTTACCAAGTAGCACATTTCCTAGGTCCAGGCTTGAGCAAGATTGGCCCAAGACGAGGAAACTGGCCCAAGTAAGAGCCGGGAAAGGGTGCTGCTAGGATTCAGTATGCATTTTTGTAGTTTTGTTCAGTTTTGTTCATTATCACTAGCTATATATTACATCAGAAACAGTTTAAAACTACGAGTAAAGAATAATCATGTGAATAATATTGGCCATATATAGGAAGTGCCATTTAAACATTTTATATTTCTTGTTTATCATTGCTTTTAAAAATAGTACTTCAACAACGCATAAAAATGTGTAAAACAAAAATCACCTGCCGAGTACGCTTGGCCATGTATCAGTACGTGTTTCGGTAGCTTTGATCATTTTTGCTAATTATCACTCGCAATACTAATATTACATGAAATAACAAGATATATGTAAAATAAAATCACCATCTGAATGTTATTGGAAATCTTTCGGTTCAGCTTTTGGTAGCTTTGACCATTTTTTGCTAATTATCAGTCGTAATAAAGGTACGGTGGCCCATCTTTGTAATAATATCAAGCGAGCGTCGACTTCCGGGACGGCCAGAGCTGTGCCCCGGAGAAATGCGGCCGTCATGGGAGAGATTAGGCGCGTGCGCACAAAGCTCTTTTCCTTGCGAGCGTCGCCTTCTATGCTATTTATTCCGTTGACCGCACACAGCCCCTGTTCATTATCTGCTGGCATAGCTAACGCCTTTAAGCAAAGATCAGAACAGCGCTTACTGTTATTTTCTCTTTTTGTTTCGATACTGCTCAGACGTGACATAAACCGCGCGTCATCTCGTGTTTAAGTTACTTTTTTTATTTCATGTTTGCATTTACTTTTGTAAACGCCGACAAAAATGAAAAATACGGTGCCGCCACAAACTGAATGCAACGATGCATTACACTATATACCGGCATTAAACCAATAAAGTGCTTTCATCCTGCCGCGTGACATGGTGCTTTCACGTGCAGTTGTACCAAACGGGAAGGCCACGTGACACACGTTTAGCGACGGACTGGCCAAGGTGGCTCGTAGCGTCGGCTGCAGTACGATGCAAATTAAAGCAGAGTATTGACAGGGTTTCTGCTTGTTGTTTTTAATTATCAACTACGTTCTTGCTGTCATCATCTAGCCTATGTAGCCGGCAACTTTCTTTAACCAGCGGACGCGCGCAATTTTTATGCCTCGTCAAGTGCCTACAGAAACACGGGAACGTGTTGTGAGAATTTCGATGGGTGGCATGACGCAACAACAGTCGGGGTTAAACTGGCTACCGTCAATAGGATTCTGAACGCATTCCAAGAGGAGGGGCGCATCGGCGATGCACTTCGACACTGCAAGCGCCTTGCCCTCCTTTGCTACGGAGCAGGGGCTCTGTGCGTTCAACGTAATAGCCTAGCAGACGACGCTCCCACCAGAAAGGGCTTTGTGCGCCCGCGCTTAATCTCTCCCGTTTCGCCGCACGCCTCCGCGGCACGGCGCTGGCCGTCCCAGCGGTCGACGCTCGCTTGATATTATTAAAAAAATTGGGCCACGGTACGTCATAAAATAATAAAAAACTGTGTAAAAATAATCATAATGCTCTTTGACATCTTTACTTGCGTCGTTTGGTAGCTTTTAACATTTTTCGCTGATTATCGCTCGCAATAAGATTGCATTAGAGACGAGAAAAAATATGTGCAAAGGCAATGAACTTCTGAATATATTTCACCATCCTTTTGGGACGGTTTGGTAGCTTTTATCATTGTTTGCTTATTATCACTCACAATATTATCCCATCAGCAACAAATCAAATATATGGAAAACCAAGATAATCTTCTGAGCACCGTTGGCATTCTTTTTGGTATTTTCTGGTAGCTTCGTTGCAATTTTCGCCGATTATCGCTCGCAATAATATGATATCGACAAGGAATAAAATAAATGTATAAAAGGCCAGTTTCCCATATATTAAACAGTGAGGTTCATGAAAGGGCAAATTTTCGACATTGACTTTAGTTTACTATCCTATGTGAATCAAAGGGTGATTAATTTGTTATTTTCGCAAAAAACACACCCGAGGTCCCAGATATTTATTTATATTGTTAACATTAATTACTATAGAACGCGTTCCAGATACAGTTAGAAATAGCTATATTACGAATTTATTTTTTGTGCTTATCATAATTACTTTTTTTTCTTTGCACAAAGAATATTTACAGTAACATACATAAAACGTTTACACTCCAGCTTTTGCATAGATGAGGAAGTATTCTTGCGAGGGCTGCTTCGTTTGCAGAAGCTGCTCCAACTGCGGCAGTTTGTCTATTCGAAGAGTAATTAAACTGATTTTAAAGCAAGACATAATTTATTTGGGAGCATGTTCACTTTTTGATAAAGAGCTTCGTATCTTTACACAAATCGAAAAATAAATTTATTACCCAAACTATATACAGTAAAAATGGGTTTCGCATTCCGATAGCATTCTTTCATTCGTTTCTGTTCATTCAAAAGCCTAATTGGCCTTGGAGTACCACGATAATATACTAAATATCAATGAAAGATTACGAGTTTTTTTGTGGATTCCACTGACCCGTTCTGCGACTTATCGCGGCACAATTTATTGTTACGCGCACTGAAAAATACACGGCCGTTATACGAATGACCGTTGTACGACTGTCCGTTACACGACTCACGATTCATGCAAACTAATCCTTTATAAATAAATTCACAAATTTAATATTTCTAACATCAAGATATTCCTCATTGAGATATTATGAAGAAAGAGCATATAAAAGTTTTGTTACAAAACTGATACATAAAAAAGGTATGCAGCTATGTCTGTTAAATTCATAGGCTAATAACATCTTAGGTTTCGTCCTAAGATGAATGGCTCTTGCAAGATTTTTTTTTTGAAAACGTCTTAAACAATTTGCATGCTTACAAATTAAAGATGATTAGCGGAAGGTTTTAAATAAATGTGTACGTCTCATTATTCTTTGGACATTCAGATCGGTAAGACTTGTTTTTTAAATTTGCTCTTTTATTCATTCACGTCTTAATTTAGGAAAGCTACTCCGAACTTCGGGCTTTCTTGCAAGCGAGAAGCCACAAATCTTTCCGATACAGATTAGCTTAATCGCTTTTTCACAGGGCGTATACCACTGGACGCTGAGATCATTTTTAAATTGAAGCTGACGTCGGGGTGCAATTTTTAAAATCGAACCTATCAAAATTTACTTCGCTAAAACAAATGTTCACGCCTTCGAATCTTGTGTGGTAGCTAGCAAATAAAAACCGAATGCTGAAATACACATATGACGCGATCTAAATTAATTCTTTTCTAAAATTTCCATAATCATGAGAACTTGCAGATATCTCATTTTAGGACGTACAATCTATATATATACTACGAATGATGGGAGGAGGCTTTGAAAGTTACTGACACTTATATTAATGTGTAATTATTTGGAAGATTGAATCTAAAACAAAAATAACATTTCTAGTACTAATATACATCTTTTGGGTATGTCGTTTCGTAGATTTTTTGTTTTTGTTTGTTAGCTGATTATCTCTTGCTATAATATAACATAAACAACATGTCAGATATCTATGTACAAAGAATAACCTTCTAAATACTGTTTATTTTCTGTTACGTGTTGAATTTTAAAAACAGAAGTTTGCGATGTTCTTTTTTTTCAAACCTGGGTTTACCAAATTAAACAAGAACAATTGAGAGACACAAAATGTATTCTATGCTTTTCTGTTTCTGAGAGAAGCATCTTTATTGTTTAAACAAAACATTTTCCAATAGCGCTTAATAATTAATCGGTAACGGTTCCTTCCGGATCAATGAGACAATGCCCATGCCTTCAGCTTGGCATTGGGGTTGTAAGGGCCAACGGAAGAACAAGTTCGTGAAATTGAGTTTGAATGGTATACGCGCTATAAAAAAACATTAAGCTCATCCACATAGGAAATTTTCGTGGCTTCTCGTTTGCACGAAAGCCAGATGTTCGCAATACCTTTCCTAAATCTAAACACGAAGGAACGTCTAGGAACCACTGTTTTCGTCATAAGCTTTCTGATCCTTTAATTATTATCAGTATTTTAATGAAATTGGGGGACGGTTTTGGCAGGTGTCCGATTGCGGGCTAGCCTCCGTGGCCTCTCTGGACTGGAGAAGGGTGGCTTCATGTTTCATTTAGGCCAACCCGCAAATTTATTTGTACATTTGGCTTTAAGGCTGAAGGAATTCCAGATGCAATTGAGATAGGAAATAAAATTTCAACGTATGAAGAGACTCGGCAGCCTAAGCGCGAAATGGACCTTTTGTAGAAAGATCGATTCGAGAGTAAATGATTCCAGTACCCTCTCTCTCTTCCTTCTGGCCGAGCAGAGAGGGAAGATGGTTTCGTTGTGTTGACTTCAAGGCGGACGATTACGTGCGATGGGGACAAAGGCGAGTTTTGGGGAGCCGTATCTAGGTCACAACGCCTCAATGGGTGAACAGGATGCAGCTGACGTTTTGGGTGTGGAACGGGTGGGAGAGACCTTGCGCGTGCGTGGCTTTCTCGCCACTTAGCCTCGAACCCGTTCGCGTGTCTAGATAGTAGCACATATTACCCAAGAGGCCCAGTCTGTATTGTTTTGAACAACACTTTCATGTTTTGGTATCCTTTGCATGCTTACATTCGGACTGGCAGTATATCATGTTTTTAATTACTTGTTTAATTTTTTTAATTAAATAAGGGTTGTTTGATTTAAACCACTGTAACTAGAAACAATGATTCTATATCACATTGGTGTATGTTTTTTAAGCATGGCCGATTCATTCATAAAATCGTCCGACTATTGAAAGCAATCCTAAATAAAAGTTTGATGTAAATTGAAACTTTTACAGCACAGTGTATCAATTTCGACTAACGTAAATCCGCCATATCACACCAAAAGCAGCTTGATTTTTTGCCAGTGAAAACGCTTTGTTTGCATATTCTTTCACGTCCTGATTTGTTTTCAATATCCCAGTAAATTTTTGTTTTCTTCTTTTTGTTGAAGTTTGATTTTTATTGCAATCTGACATTAGGTATCTCGTGAATGAAGTCGAAGGCAGAAAAAAGCTCAACGCTCTGAGTTGCACAAAAAAGCACCGCCTTTTTTTCATTATGAGTACCCAATACGTCTTTCTTAATTGTTATTTATTTGATATAAATAGACAACAAACAGATGTAACACATTAAATGAAAAACGAACAGTAAATAAAAACACTTCTGGGGATTATTCTTGCGGGAAAGGTTTGACGTAGATCATTATAGTAAACAGCGCATAATTTAAATCGCGATTTAATTTATCTTTGATATTTATTCTCCGACCTGGTTAGGTTTCATTATTTATGTAACAATAAAAACGTGCTCCACTAACGGGGTGAATGTAATATTTTGGAACTCGCTCTTTTTATTAGATGTTGGAGTAAGTGCCAAAAGCAGGAGGAAGACAAAGAATGACCGAAGGACTATGCTAAAGGGCTGGAGCGAGAATTCCACTGTGGCGGTCAACAATTCACTTCTAATAATCACCGTTTTCCAATGATGAGGACTGTGGTGGCTGTGTTAGCGTTTCTGTTTCGCGGTACAAATGTCGCGCCTGTGCGTGTTCCATGTCATTCGAAATGGCCGATTCATCGTCACTGTGTTTGTTCAGAAGGCGATATGCATTTCTCAAAACATAACGCACAATCGAAAGAGACGTGTAAGAGTTAACATTTTCAAAGATATGCTTCTATTCATTCGAAGTTTCTAGGCATGTAATGCACGCGAGTCGCGTTCTTATTTTTTTAATGAATAGATAAATAACTGATGTGGTTCTGTGCTTACATTTTGTTAGTAATGAGTACACTCAGACATTTTTAATTTTTATTCAAAAGCACTTTGTATACGATGTTGAAGTGCCGTAAGTCAATTTTATATTATTATACAGAAATGACATTTTAACACCATTAGATAATCCACCAGACCGCGTCTGGAGTGTTTCTGACGTTTACACCTGAGGGGAAATTCCAACACGTGTCGGGTGTGTTCTGGTGTCTTGGCATGAATTTACCAAGTGTGTTCTGATGTGACCCGGTTGGTCCAGTGTCTTCTGGGGTGACCTGGTCATACATGCACGGTATAATTTAGATGCAGAAGTGGCTGCTGATGACCACAACTCGCAAGCTCTGCAAAAAGGGCGCCAATTTTTCAAAGGTTTAGTTTAGTTGTTCATTCTGTCATGAAACAAAACTACAAAAACAAGCAGAATTAAACTTACTATTTTATTTTCTTCCCAACGTGCACTACTCGCAGATTTTCTCGCACACAAGGCTGTTCATGGCTCTTTTCTTCCATGCCATTATTGCCAGCGCACCTGGATTCCTAAGGTGATGGCTTGGAAGAGTTGGTCTTGTATAATAAAACCTACAGTGCATAAAATAAAACATATGCATGAGCAGCTATTTATAAAAAACCTTTAAAATAATACATTCACAACTACAACAGCAAGCAAGGAAGTTATCTCGTGTCCAGCCTGATAATCAGACTCAATTTACCCCTCGACCGCCTACCCGTTTTCAATCTGCTTTCCCCTACCTGTGGCAGGTAATACAGAAAAACCCGATTATATCGAACTCGCCAAAACCGTCTACCAGTTCGATATAGCGGGTGATTTTATATAAATATGTTAATGAATCTGACAACGAACAAGCACACCACATTTGGACAAGTAGTTTATTCTCGAGGGGGTTTCTGCACGTCATGAGGGACGCTCACCGCAGCTATTCAACGGCCGCTTCATCGTTTTTAAGGTCTCACCGGCTCACGTTCTTCCCGCTCCCCCCGAATGTTTTTTTTTTTTTTTGCAAAGAAAGCCAGCTTTTTTTTGCAAGCCCACTTTCCCTTTCTGTATTCAGAAATAGGCATCATTATGACTCACATCTGCCTTATTTGCTAGTATACTAGAGAAGCGAGTTAGCTGACTAACCTCTGGATATATATTATTTTCTCTGTTAAACTGTAATTTGTGGAACACGGCTATCGACAGCATTGTTGTCACACTCATCTGCATGTTCACCTTTTCGAATATAGTTCACCTTTTCGTCCTATGCCAGTACTAGAAGGTGAACACACTTTTTTTATTTATATTGTTTTCTATTTCTATTAGGAAAATAGGTGTCGCACGAGCACAGGTCTTGAATATTTGGGATGCTCAGAACCGGGCTAATGCGTTATCGCAAAGAAAAGAGGGTCTCAGAAACCTCGTTAGTTCACCTTGAATTCA